AAAATGTGCATTGAAGCACCTTAATGTGTGTTTAGAAAAACGCCAAAATGAAGATTAAAAAACCCCATGTATTAAATAAATACAGCATGTTAAAAAAGTGGCAGAATGCATGTAAATAATGCTAAAATGTGCAAAAAAGGAGGAAAAATACACATTTAAAGAATGTGCCAAAATGTGTGTTAAGCACTGACCACTAGTACTTTTTATTATTTTCATGTAATTACATGGTCCTTGTAACTTTGGTTTCACTGTTTGAACTCAGGTGATCTGTAATCACACAATTTTCTCAGGAGATCACATGCAGCCCCTCCCCCTTCTATACAGATCTCAGCTGTTCTCAGAGGAAAAACTTCTCCTCTCTTCTCCTGAGAACAAATGTTCTTCATAAACAGGGGGACAGAGGAGATGATTTTTCCCTGAGAACTGAAATGAGATAAATGATCCCTGCTTAATAAACATACACCTTTTATTACATAGCTGAATTGGATCAGGTTTGTTCTCACTTTTTGAACACCGAGAGACTTGGTATCAGAGATGTACACGTGATTTGCACTATCCCACCTGGCATGAGAAGCATTTTGTCCTCTCGTGATTTCCTGTAGGATACTAAATCAATAATTACGCATCTGAGATCGACCCCCCCCCCACCTTCATAAATTTACCCCAATATGGTTCAATAAGTTATTCCCAGAGCTCCACAAGGTACTCAAGCTCAATCACTGGATCTCTAGAGGTATTTATTTCTTGCACCACATTGTAGATGAAATGGGGTACATTAAATCCTATCAGAAGTTAAGACATGTTTGTTGCCTAATAATAATAAATAAAATGATATCATGATTTGCTTCTTCAGGTCAGCACTGGCCCTCTAATGCATGCTTATCTGATGACTGAAGAGGAATAATTGAATAGCATGAGTTCCACCTGGAAAAAAAAAAAGTCAGCAGCTACAAAAACTGTAGCGGCTAACTTTTAAAATACAGCCACTTACCTGTCCCTCGGTCCAGCAGTGTCTTCACCACCGCTGGTTTTGCCCTTTTCTTTCCCTGCCGCTGGCATCTTCAGTGTGGGCACCCAGCTGTGACAGCTTGCGGCTTCACAGCCGGGTTCCCACTGTGCATGTGCGAGAAGCGCTGTGCTTTGTGAATGAACCTGTAGTCTTCTGTCACGTGTCCCAGAAAACTACGGTGAGGGAGGGGGGAACAACTTCCGCTTCTGATCGCTTAACAAAGGTGACAATTCTTAAAGGGGAGTGGGGGACAAAGACTTAAAGAGGAACTTTTGGGTGGAGCTCCACTTTAAGTAATCACGGAGGTGCAGAATAAATAAAGCAATAATATCCTTTGCCACGATCGCAGCGTCAAACTCCAGACTTTCTCACCAAACTTGTGACCAAAGGACTGGCCGATCTAAAACCGCGATGTGACGTGCGTAACAATGCCACACCCAGCTGCACCCTGCACAATGATTTTCCAGCTAATGGATATCTATCGTTGTGCCAGCAGCCTGAATCGATTGTTACTGGGTCAGGTTAATTACGCAATTAACCCCTTCACACTGCCACCACCTCCTTTTTGATCAGAGAAAGAAGAAACTTGGTGTTCAGCTATAACACTATAATGGTTGATATAATCGACTGCATAACCTGGTCATAATACAGGCCTGTTATACAGAGGGTTAAAACAAACAGCATCTCTTTAAAGGCAGGGATTCGTAAATTGCAATTAAGAGCTATAGAAACAGTTCAACACTTTCAGAAAGAGAGATTTATTACTAAAAGGGTCAAACGGGTGCAATAAAATATTTACAGAGAAGATGTAACTAAGATATATATATATATATATATATATACATAGAAAACAGCACAGCAAAGAGATAACAGGGAGAAGTTAAAGGGTTGAGTTACTTGCCATTAAGCCTTGGATGGAAGCAGATCATGTTTAAGAGCGAAAGGCACAGGTCTCCCCAGGTGGTATATTGATGTTAAAATTGGGGATGTCTTCAAAACTAACTTCTCTTAGGCTTGACAGCCTGCTTTAAAGTTTCCCAGCAGGGGGTGGTTCTGAGGTAAAAGACCAATCCCCTGTTTAGGGAGGGATCGTCGGGCGGAACCCTAAACTGGAGCCCACATCTTTCCTAATTCATATTCTGGTTCATAACTTCCCATCTGCACAAGTGACAGTCCACCCGCGGGTATATTATTATGCAGACAAGCCTGGGGATTATTTGGATATGAATTATGAAATTGTATGCTACACGGTTCACGAGATCTATTTATCTGCCTTCCCATGCGCCCGAGATAAGGCAAGTGACCCATCAAACTGCTCGCCTGCTCATCATCCATCCAATGAGAGATGTCCGGCTTTTATGTCGGTCTCTCATATTCCAAGATATGAGACATAGGGGAAAAATTGATTTCTTAAAAATGTTATCTGGTGTGGGCTTCTTGGGAATGCCTTGAACTCCTGGGAAGGCTCTGTTATCTTTTCACGAGGCATGAAATTACATAGGTACTTTGGCCAGTGAGACTCCAGCTCTCTTGGGAAAGCTGGTCCTATCTCTTCCTATGTGAGAAAGGATACTGCTTTCACAGACAGCTCGGGCACCTAACTAATGATGCCTTGGCCCGCCAGTGACCCATAAACAGTACATACACACATCTGTCACTGTGCCTCTCAGGAAGGGAGGGGGAAGGAGAATGAGGGAATAACATGGCTACTCTTAACAACATGCAGACTGCGTCAGTCTCTGTTGCACACATTTGCGACATCCTTTACTGCAGGTTCTCTGGTACAGCTTGCGGCAGTAGTGACATCACCAAATCACATGAGAGTAGCAGTCAGAGGCAGCAGTGCCCTAGATGATCTCACACTGCAGAGTTCTTGCACACAATATTTCTGCTACAGTTTATCAAATGTATCTTTTCAGTACACACATTCATTTTAGTGCACCCAAACATAGTATAATACCACATTTTTTTGTATAATATAAAAGGTAAGCTTACTCTGAGTAAATAGATCCTAAATATGTCATGCCTTAAAATGCTCATGCCTATGAAATATTGGAAAACTTTTGTACCCAATACTGTCCATAGGTGATGTTTTATTAGTCTTTAATTTAGAGTTAGTGAATAATGGCTCTAGAATTATTATTTCTACTACAGCATGTGCAGCAATCTCCTCGTGGATTACCTCAATAAAATGGGTTTTATCCAGACCTTGGATTGAGCGCTGATGTTTTTTCTGAGGACTGAGCATGTGCAGCAATACCTAACCTGTGTGACACAATAATCGTTTTAGTGTCCCGCCATACATTTGTATTCATAGGTCTTGGGGTGGGGTGCTTTAAATATTCTTTTAGGGGATGTTTTTAATAATTCAGTTTTTTTTTATTGCTCTCACAAGGGAGACTTATAACCCTCCCCCCCATTCCAATATTGTGATAGCATAGTGCAGGAAACAGGTTCTCTCTACAGGGAAATCAGGGATCTATAGGACCCCTATTGCCATCCCTGCACTCTGCTGAAGCCAATTAAACATAGGCTTTACTGGTTTAGCTTCTTCCCTGGCTAGGGCTGATGAAAATTACTCAGGATCTGGAAGTGCTCAGATTTGAATGCTTTCAGATTCACTCTTCACAAGGGAAATCAGCGATCCATCCTGATCACCCAGGAGGGGCAAGTAAACCTGGGGCCCAAAGCAAGGGATGGGGGGACAGGCTGGGAGGGTGCTCACATTGCTGTACATGTAGGAGTGTACATATACAAGAACACTTGTAGAAAATTAAACTTCTATTGCAATATAGCGGTATGATCCTTATTTTGGTAGCAGAAAACAGGTTAAGGAACTGGAAATGCCCTGTTATTTTGTAGGAGGAAGCCAAGGCAAGAGAATACCAGATACTAGATGTTGCTTGTAAAATAGCAAATCTTCTGATTTTTTTTTTAATTCAGATCCACTTTAAGAAAACGATTAGTAGTTATCCTGCCATATCAAAAACCATACCACACCCATAATGCACAGAAACCCACCATTTGCTATAGCAGGTCTTAAAGTGGAGCTAACCTTACCTTTCCTTCAGCTCTTCCCATCCTTCACCAGCTTCTTATTTTAAGATTAAAGTTAAATAACTAGAAAACCCCCCAGTACTGTTCTTTTGACCTGGGAAGATGCAAGATTTTTCTGTTGTGTGCTAGGCTCAGGATTTTTGTGAATCCTAAACAGTATCTTTATGTGCAGTCTGTCTGAGATTTAAACAGATACGGTGTACTATGAAAACGATGTCACTAGCGCCCGCTTTAACCTTGAAATTGTGTTGTGCCGTGTCATTTTGCTGTAAAATGGTTTCATTGTGCTGTCAGCTTCTTTGTTTATGGATCAGTAACTCTTGAATCAGCTTATTTTTTTCAGCGTCTAGGTCTAAAATATCCATTGTTTACCAGTTATCGTATGATTATCTAATCTGATGTTCTAAGGACAAAGAAGACATTGTGAACACTTTGAGGACTGTCAGGATGCTTGCTTTGAGCACCTTGGGTTTCTCTTCTTTTTTAAATCCATATTTGAGGACATAAGATGGAAGACAATTTCTGAAATTCTGCAACATGGAAAGGATTCTTCTCACTGCAACAAAGTTACTGTTGTATATTTGCCGAAATTGTTTTTTTTCGTATTTGTAATTGGATAGCATACATCGTATGCAAAAAAAAATCCTGTACTTTTTGTGTTTGGATAGAGTGGGGAAAGGTTAAAGGATAAGTACATCCAATGCTCTTTTGGCTGAACTTCTCCTGCGAATCACAGGAGTGCAATTCATTCTTCACTCTTGTAACTCATTTTCAGCTGCAGCCCACTGTTGGCTGACATCACTCAGCTGGTCCAGGCTGGGGAAAGATCCCGAAAAGTGGAGATCCACCCCAGAGTCTGGAGCGGCACCTGGTTTCCACTGAGAACCTGAGCCAGTTGCTCCCTCCAGCACTCCACTGAGTATGGGGAAGGGTGCTGGGAGGTCAGTCACTGCTCTCTGCTCTGCTCAGAGCAGCTCTGAAAACTCTGCAATCAGCAGTCATGTGATCTCTGAGTTCTCACACACAGAGCCGGTGGGGACATCCACAGTGAAGCACACAGTTAACCCTTTGATCACCCCTCATGTTAACCCCGTCCTGCCCAGTGCCATTAATACAGTGTCAGTGTTTTAAGTTTTTTTTTAGCACTGATCACTGTATTGGTGTCACTTGGGATGTCAGTGACACCAAGTCAGTTCTTCCCAGTGTCAGAATGCCCGCCGCAGTCCCGCTATAAGTCGCTGATCACCGCCATTACTAGTAAAAATAAAAATTCCAGTATCTATACCGCCATTTGTAAACGCTATAACTTTCACGTAAACCAATTAATTTGTATGTATTGGGATTTTTCCTAGCAAAGACATGGAACAGAATACATTTTGGCCTAAATTTAGGACGGAATTTGATAAAAAAAAAATTTTTTACTGGACATGTTTAATAGCAAAAAGTAAAAAATATTGTTTTTTTTTTTTTAAAATTGTCACTTTTTTTTAATAAAAAAAAAAACGCACAGGCGATCAAATACCACCAAAAGAAAGCTCAATTTGTGGGGAAAAAAAGGACGTAAACTTAATTTGGGTGCAGTGTTGCATGACCGCACAATTGTCAGTTACAATAACGCAGTGCTGTAACGCCAAAAATTGCCTGGTCAGGAGGGGGGGTAAATCCTCAGGAAGGCAAATGGTTAATATTTTCTACTGTTTTAAAAAAGTTTTGTTTTCTTTTTAGGGGGGGGGGGGGTAGCTGGTCTTGCCTAGGGGCACAAAATAGTCTAGCCCTGCCATTACAACCACCCCTTTACTGTGCTCTTCTCTCCTTCCTTTTCCTCTCGCTTTTTGTGTCTAGAAATAGAGATGGACATGCTGTGAAAATGGAGATTCATTTGCCCATATACCCACTAAAGCACACTTCTCAGTAGTTACAGCTTGCTTAGCATCGTGATTTTAATTCACATTACACAGTGTTCCTCTTCCAACTTTTTTGGAAGGTTTTGGGCAAGGTGTGAGAACACACAATTCACACAATCTGATTCAATGGGGTTGATTTACAAAAATCAAATACTGTGCTCACTTTAAAAGTGAAGTGGCACTCTTTTCACCAAAATGTAGTGAATACGGGGAAGCTTCACTTTTGAAAGAATACCCTTTCACATTTAAGCAAAATAAAGAAAGCAGTATTTTTTGTTTGCACATGTTTGGCTGATAGAAGTCGGCAGAGATCACATCAATCAATAAGCTCTGTGGAAAATTCCCTTGTAGAGTGCAACTGCACTGCAAAGTGAACAGTCGGTTTGCCTTTAGTAAAGCAACCCTAACGTCTTTATTAGCATAAGCCATATACTGTAAGAAAATGTTGAGATATCTTAAAGTGGGTCTATGTAATAAAGTGTTACTAAACCCACAACAGTAAAATCAGTCTGTGTATGCAGTAAAGCATGCTTGTTGTACTCACTGTGGAGGATTATTGCGTAAAAAGGCTATTTGATCCTATCTTCTCTGATCCTCCCTTTCTACTGTCCTCAATCCTCTTCTGATAGTACAGAGCCTTGGGGGGTAAGAATGAAAACTCATCCTACAACATTAACCAGTGCTGGGCTGGACACTGATAGAAGTCACAAAATTGCTATATACTGTTTATGAGAAAAGGTATTTAGCAGTTTATATTTACTAAAATAATTGAATTTTTATGTTCTGTGTACTGTGGAGACCAGATATACTGTAGTGAATGCAGGGTCCTGGATTTAGTAACACTTTAAGGTAAAAAAAAACAACAACATGCAGCTCCCCCCCTCCCCCTAACACCCTGTTATACTTACCTTATACATACCTGAGCCCAATCTCAATCCAGCAATTTGCACGTGAGCAGATGTTCTCTCCACTCTCTCCCTTCTCATTGGCTCAGAGACAGCAGTGGAAGCCATTGGCTGTCAATCACAACAAGTGAGGAGAGAGAGGAGACACATAGAGACGGCTTGGGAGTGAGCATGCATGAGTGCCCCTATAGCAAGCTTCTTGCTGTGGGGCATTTGACAGGGGGATGGAATGCCAGTAGGGACCCATGAAGAAGAGGATCGTCACTGCTTTGTGCAATACTATTGCACAGAACAGATAAGTATGATGTTTGTTATTTAAAAAAAAACTGACCATTTACAATTACTTTAAAGCATTACTAAACCCATGAACCTGCATTCACTATATCCAGTCTTCCACAGTATGCAGAACATGGAAATGCATTTATTTTTGTAAATATAAACTGATAAATACTTTTTCTCATCAGCAGTATATAGCAGTCTTATGACTTCTATCAATGTCCAGCCGACCACTGGTTAATGTTGTAGGAGGAGTTTTCATTCTCCTTGGACTGTCCTATGAGGCTGCATAGCCTCCTGACCCTTTGTCTGGACAGTGCTGTTTGGCCCTGTTCCGATCACATGCACTCTTCACCCCAAAAAAAACCCTCTCTACCAATACACATCAAACAGAGCATGTGCAGACTTGTCACTGCTGCTCTAACTATAGCAGGTGGATTGGGGACAGCAAAAGGAGAGGATCAGAGAAGTCGGGATCAAACAGCCTTTTTACACAATGCGAAGGATTAACCCCTTAGGTACCACAGTGAGTATGCCAAGCATGCTTTACTGCATATACAGACTGATTTTACTGTTGTGGGTTTAGTAACACTTTAAGCTCCAATAACCAGGAAAGTAAGCTACAATATAAACCTTTTGTTTTCATTTGCCAGGGGTCACAATTCATAACCTGGCAAGCTAAATGTAAACAGGGCAATGCTTACGCCTGCCTAGGACTGTGGTCATTTTTCTAAAAGCTCAGAGAAATTATTGACAAAGATAATATTTGCAGACTTGATTGGTATCCCTGGATATATTTAAAGAGCTACTTTTTTCCAGTTTAGAATGTGGCATCAGGTCAGCAATAGGGGTGAAGCTCTTTCATCCCAGTCACTACTAATTAAATATTTGCCTTTCTGTAACAACTCTAGGACATCAAGCAGGTCAATGAGTCTGTAAGGAGGTCTCCCATTTTTTAATAGGACCACAGAGCCCTGTATAGTGGTTTACAACACATATACAGATCCCAAGATCTTCATCTATCAAGAGTGGTTATGCTATTGCCAATATGAACAGGTGATCAGAAATGTGTTCTTTTCACAACCAGAAGCTACATTTTCTATGAAAAAAATCAATGAAACCTTTCACCATTCATGCTTTACATTGTACTATTGTCTAAATATGGTGGAGGACAATGAGTAGCCCACAGCACAAAATTAAGGCACGGATAAGATGATCTCAAATTTGAGATCACATAAAGTTTCTGTTTCCTAAGGGTATGCCAACCGAAATCATGTATGGTAGTTAGAGACATATAGATTGAAGAAGATAAATGTAAATGTATTTTATTTTGCGATATAGTAATGAAGTGCAAAATACACTTAAAGTGACATCGGTTATTTAATTTACTTTGGTTCGAATCCCAACCACGGCACCACCTGCCTGGAGTTTGCATGTTCTCCCTGTGCCTGCGTGGGTTTTCTCCGTGTACTCCGGTTTCCTCCCACCCTCCAAAAAATGTGCTGGTTGGTTAGATCTTGTTTAAATTGGCCATAGTATGTATAGATGTGAGTTAGGGACTTTAGATTGTAAGCCCCTTGAAGGTTAGGGACCGATGTTACATAGTTTGGCTTAAAAAAGACAAAAGTCCATCCAGTTCAACTAATAAAAAAAAAAGTTATAATCCTACACCCACAGTTAATCCAGAGGAAGGCAAAAAAAACCCCAGCAAAGCACGATCCAATTTGCTCCTGCTGGGGAAATAAAATCCTTCCTGATCCCCCGAGAGGCAATTGGATATTCCCTGGATCAACTTTACCTATAAATGTTAGTATCCAGTTATATTCTGTGTATCCAAGAAAGAATCCAGGCCTTTTTTAAAGCAATCCTCTGAGCTGGCCAGAACCAATTCTTGAGGGAGTCTAGTCCACATTTTCACAGCTCTTACTGTGAAGAAACCTTTCCATATTTGGAGATTAAATTTATTTTCCTCCAGATGTAAAGGGTGCCCCCTTGTCCTCTGTGATGACCTCAGGGTGAATAACTCTACACCGAGTTCACTATATGAGCCACTGATGTATTTATACTGTACATGTTTATCATATCCCCCCTTAATCTCCTCATTTCAAAAGAGAATAAATTCAGTTCCTTTCATCTTTAAAAAGCTGCGTAAATTGACAGTGCTATATAAGTACCTGAAATAAAAAAAAAATACTACTCTCCTGTGACCTACAGGAGAGAAGTACAGCCAAAATAGCTTTAGCTACACTTTTTAATGCTTATGATACCGCATGCCCCCTTTACATTGGAAACTCACCAGAGGCTTGAGACCCTTTTCTAAGTAATGGGTCGGTAAGCACTTTTTGGACAAGGGGAACAATCCTTCTCGGATCACCACCATCAGGATCCAGACTATTCTGCCAGGTGACTCATTCACGCCCTTGTTATCTCTCGCCTTGACTATTGCAACTCCCTTCTCATAGGCCTAACTCTCTGTAGGCTATCCCCTCTTCAATCTATCATGAATGCTGCTGCCAGGATAATCTACCTCACCAACTGCTCAGTGTCTGCCACCGCTCTCTGCCAATCCCTCCACTGGCTTCTGATTGCCCAGCGAATTAAATTCAAAATACTAACAACATACAAAGCCATCCACAACTCTGCCCCCGAACTACATCACCAATTTTGTCTCCAAGGATCGCCCAAACCGTCCTCTCTGCTCCTCTCATGATCTCCTGCTGTCAAGCTCCCTTGTCTCCTCCTCTCATGCTCATCTCCAGGACTTTTCCAGAGCCTCTCCCATCCTCTGGAATGCTCTTCCTCAATCTGTCCAGCTGTCCCCTACTCTGGGTGCCTTTAGGTGATCCCCAAAAGCTCATCTCTTCAGGGAAGCCTATCATGTCTCCAAATAGACATTTATCACTTCCATCAGCTCATCTTCCACAATTATAACCTTTTGTACCACTTGCCCCACCCTATTAGATTGTAATCTCTTATGAGCAGGGCCCTCCTAATCCTCTTGTTTTGATTGTATTGTAGCTGAATTGTCTCCCTGTAAATTGTAAAGCTGCTGTTGGCACTATATAAGTCTTGTATAATAATAATTCCACATCTACCTCTGAGCTCCAATGTACTCATGTATTAAGATAGAAATACTGCAAAAGGCACCATTTTAGCACAACCAGTTTTAAATGTATTAGTTTTCACAACAGCCACAAATGCAAAAAAAAAACCCCATTAAAATACATGCTCACTAGATATGGA